GGCGCTTGGAGAGAGAGCAAGCAAGACAGCTTTCCAACCTGTGTGTGTGTGTGTGTGTGTGTGTGTGTGTGTGTGTGTGTGTGAGGGAGGGATGGAGGTAGCAATCTGAAGCCGAGGCACCCAAACTTCTGGCAGCGGCGGGGCAGCTTCTGAGCAGCCAGCTCCACCTGACCTACTCTCTGAGTCTCATCGTTCTCCTTCCCCCCCCGCAGCCCGCACCAGCATCCCGAGAGAAGCAGAGAAGATCATCGCTTGCAAGCAGACAAGCAGAGGTAGCAAGCGTATGCCGTGCTGTGAGAAAAATGAGAGGTCCTGCTGTCCCGCAGAGCCTGCCCCTGCTTGAGCTGGAGGGGGGCAGGAGAACGGCGAGACTCAAGGAGTAGGTCAGGTGAAGCTGGTTGCTCAGAAGCTGCCCTGCCGCTGCCAGAAGTTTGGGTGCCTTGGCTTCAGATCGCTCCCTCCCTCCCTCCCTCCCTCCACACACACACACACACACACACACACACACACACACACACAGAGGTTGGAGAGCTCTCTTGCTGGCTCGCTCTCCAAGCACCCCATGCACAGCCCATTTGAGGAAAGGGCACGGACGGCTGGGCGCGTTTGGCTGCAGAAGGAGGCGCAGCACAATGGGGTTGTTTTGTTCACTGAGGTGGTACTTTGGGAGGGCAGGCGGACATCTGCAGCTGACAACTATAATGTATATGTCCAACTGCCCTCCCGAAGCACCACGACGGCAAACAAAACAACCGCATTGCTATGGATGCATAGCTTGTCGGGGCTGAGCAGGGAAGCCACTGTTTGAGGGGGGGCAGTAAGTTGCTAGCTCCTTCCCCGCAGCCCTGCCATGCTTGCCTGCCTTCCACGTGGACTTCTGCTTGCCTGCCTTCACAAGCTGGCCACCGGGATGCCAGGAAGGCAGCATGGAAGGCAGGCAAGCATGGCAGGACTGCGGGCCATGGATCGGTTCGGGGGCATGGCCAGCCAGCCATTGCTCCCGGTTCGGCGAACTAGCCTTCGCTATCTACTCAACCGAGCCAATCCGAACTGGGAGCATTTCACCCCTGGTTTGAACCGAAGGTGCCCATTTATTTTGATATTGTTTCTTTGATTTCTTATGTCACAGTCATTCTACTTCTATTTACAGGTCTTTGTATTTTCTAATTTTCTCCAGTTCTTTCTCGTCTCTTTGTAATCCCACCAGCAGTGAGTTTGTGAGATCTCCTTATAGCAGTTAACTGGGTTGTTTACTGATTCTTCAACTTCTTTAGAGATAGAACTTGCTTTCTGTTGCTGTCTTCTCAATTCTGGCTTTGTATGCACTCAAGACTTGATCTTGTAAAATCAGTATTAGTCCTTCTGTTACCATATTTTCCGGTGTATAAGACGACTGGGTGTATAAGACGACCCCCAAATTTTCCTGTTAAAATATAGGGTTTGGGCTATACTTGCCGTATAGGACTACCCCTCTTCCAACGCACACCAAATAAAAATTAAAAAACATCAACTGGCTCACCCACAATGTAAAAGCAGCTGTGCTAGACCCAAAATGGCCCCTGAAACAAGCAGGAACCTCACACAGCCACAAAAAGCCCCAAAAAAACAACTTTCACACTTTACACACACACAACACAACACAACTGGCTCACCCACAATGTAAAAGCAGCTGTGCTAGACCCAAAATGGCCCCTGTAACAAGCAGGAACCTCACACAGCCACAAAAAGCCCAAAAACCCAACTTTCACACTTTACACACACAAAATTCCACATACAGCTTTGTGAGATTTCGTGTGTTTGTGTAGTTAGACTGAAACACTACAGAAACACACTAAATCTCAGAAAGCTGCACAAATATTATTTTATTTTATTTTATTTTAATTTTTATATGAAAGCTAAATATAAAACTTCCTAAACTTTAAATGGCTCGGTCTAAAAAAGAACAACTAAAAAAAACCCCAATTAACTATTTTTTTTAAAGATCCCAAAGGGGAAAAAAAACTTACCCAATAGAAGAGGGGTCTCCAACCTTGGCAACTTTAAGACTTGTAGACTTCAACTCCCAGAATTCCTCAGCCAGCTTTGTTTTGCTGGCTGAGGAATTCTGGGAGTTGAAGTCCACAACTCCCTGCCTGCTTGATTGCAGGCAGGGAGTTGCTTGCTGATGGAATGGATTCAGGCAAGCGAAGCAAGGCAAGCAGCTAAGGTAAGCAAGCTGGAGGGGGGAAACTTTTTTCCTTCTCCATGGCTCTGGTGATCCCAGCTGAGTTGCCTGATTAGCAGATCGTCAGAGCTTGCATCACCAGAGCCATGTGAAAGGAGAAAAGTTTTTTCCTTCTCCATGGCTCTGGCGATCCCAGCTGCGTTGCCTGATTAGCAGATCGTCAGAGCTTGGATTGCCAGAGCCATTTAAGGCTCGTCAGAGCCTTTCGGGCTGGTCTGCCTGGTTACAGGAGAACGACACCCAGCGTATAAGACGATCCCCGACTTTTGAGAAGATTTTCATGTGTTAAAAAGTCGTCTTATACGCCGGAAAATACGGTACTTTCTTTCCTACTTTTAACCATTGCCAGTTTTGTTGTAATCTGCTATGCCTGTAATTTTTTTATGAACCTGCCTATGTAATACTTTGCCTCTTTTCTATTCTTCATTTTGTCTTTCTTGTACAGTAAGCCAGTTTGATCTACTAGTATTCAGGGTGTAAGCAGCTTCAGGGCATCTTCCCATACTCTTCAAATGCCATTTTTTTTTCTTCTTTAACTGTCTGGTGTTCTTGCAACATTCCATGTCCGCCCATTTTCTTCGATAAGTAGAGTCTGTCAACCTTGCTTTGTGGATGCAGGGCATGAGTCATTGTCATTATTTTTCTGGTCTTCCTATCCAGGGTTTTTAGTTCTGCTTGAGTCCAGTCCACTATTACCAGCAGTTTAACTAATGACTGGAACTGTCCAAGTGTTAATTGCCTTGATGGCATTTCCTCCACTAATTTTGAATGTTTAGATCTTATTCATTCTTATGGTGCATTCACTTATAACCTTCTTCTTGACTTCATTATGCTTAATGTTGTCAGCTTGAAGGATGCCTAGGTATTTGTAGTGATTGTCTTCATCCAGATTCCTGATGTTGTTTCCATAGGTCATTTTATTTCTTTCAGTTTTCACAATTTTTCTCCTGTTAATAGTGAGGGTGGAGTCCATTTCAGACTCCACTACAATGTCTCGGCTTTATATACAGTCAGTGCTGAGCAGCAATTCTATTTTATTATGTTTAATTGCAGTCTGCCAGATGTTATGTCATTTTATCCACCTATCTAGTCCTTCTCAAAGACTTGGGAATAGACAGATGTTATTTGATGGGGTTAAAGGTATCATTGCAGGATGTAAGCTGTTCCAGTATAGCTGCTTTTTGCAATTGACTGGTGATTTTGTCAATGGTGTTCAAGTGGTGCTCCAGATGTTTTCGGATTGCACCCAAGGCATTTATTACTATTGGTACTATTTTTAGTTTCTTTGCCACAGTCATTCTATAATACTTCTATTTGCAGGTTATTGTATTTTGTTATTTTCTCCAGTTCTTTCTCTTCTCTTATGTTGTCTCCAGGTACTGCAACGTCCACTGTCCAGTTGTCTTTCTTATCTGCAATTATTAAGTCAGAGATATTATGTGGTAAGTGCTTGTGTATTTGAATTCTAAGGTCCCAGAGCACTTTCTATTGCTTTGTCTATTTTGTGGTTGTACCAGTTCTTGCTTGCAGGCAAATGGCATTTCTTGCAGATATTCCAATGCATCATTGTTGCTACTTTGTCATGTTGCTGTTTGTAGTTAGTCTGTGCAATCGTCTTATTATTATTATTTTGCAAAAGCACCCATAATTTGTTTTCAGGTGTCAAAGTGAGCCGAATAGCCCAAAGGAAGCTCAAGGAACTCTATGTTATTTGCATCCATTGAAATGCAAATAGCTGCATCCAAGAGGCAGTGGAACAATACTGTCTCTGGTCTTCAAAAGCAACAATTTGGAAGGAATCAACCTGACAATGATGGCATATACACAAAGCACAACAAACACACTTCACATCTAACTGTGCAAATATAGTTTACTGAAGTATAAGAATCTTCCTATGAAGGGTAACAAGAGAATCATCCCTTCAAATAAGTACAATGCAAGTCTATGGGTACAATTTACTATAAGTTGTAGTTTGCAATATCTTGTGAGCTTCAGGGAATGTGTTTCCCCCAAAGGAGCATGTTACACCTGTCCCATTGGAATTTCACCAACTTAAGCCTAAAAAAAACACAAAATCCAGACACAAACAGACTCTTAGCTCATACTTAGCAAAAATTGGTTGTAGGTGATCTCTGATATATATATATATATTTCTATTCTATCACTTGAATTTTCAATTGCCACTCTGGTAAGAGTAGATTAAGAAATAATGTCATTAAGATATTAATGTTAACATGAAAGAGTATAATACTTCAAAAGTATCTATGGACAAACTGACATTGTTCTATGTCATAACACATTGTATATATCCGTCTCTTCCGGAGCACCTAAAGGTACATAAATATACATTGTCTGGGACCATAAATATAAATATAAAATTTATAAATATAAAATTTTCCCATCAGGCTTATTCTGTTTATTTATTTACTTATAAATTTCTATATATTTCTACACCACCAATCCCAGTAACTCTGGGCAATGTACAATAAAAACATAAAAAGTGATATAAAAGTATAAATAAAAAAAAGATAAAAATAGAATTAAGAACCAAAATTTTACAATTTAAAAAGGCAGGGGGAATTATCCTCACATCACCACCCCTATCAGGTCTTATATCACTCTCTGATTCCCATTCCAATTGGCAGTCAGATCTTAACACTCTTGTAGAAGGCCAAATGAGGAGGAGCCTGCCTTACCTGTGAGGGTAGGTTGTTACAATAGAGAAGGCTTCCACCAATCAAACTTTTTAACTGAGAGGATCTGAAACATACCCTACCTCGCCTGACCAAGAGGGACTCGTCAGTGTCATTGGGGTGAGATGGTTCCTCCGATATGCTGGTCCCATGCCATGAAGTGTTTTAAACCTGATAAGAAAGATCTTGAATTGGAAGCAAAATGGCACCTAGTACAGCTTGGGATAGCAGAGGTGGTTACATGAGTGACCTGAGAGATGTTTAAAACTGCTCACAGTGCCACATTCTGCACCAACTATAGCTTCTGAATATCTTCAAGGGTAGCCCCACCTAGAGCACATTGCAATAGTCCATAAGTGATTGAAAGAAAAGGTTCTCATTGCAGCAAAGGCTGAATCTGTGCACAACCTAAAGTTGAGCAAAGTCAGTGTCCTGGGATCATGTGATCACCTTCTGCGACCTTCTGACAAGCAAAATCAATGGGTAAACCAGATTCACTTAATCACAGTGACTCATTTAACAACTGTGGCAAGAAAGGTCATAAAATGGGACAACACTCACTTATGTCTCACTTAGCAACACAAATTTGAGGTCAATTGTGGTTGTAAGTGGTAAGTGGTTGTAAGTGTAACCTGTTCTTACTGATACGTATTTGGAGATTTACAGACTGTTATAGTATGAATGTTAATTGAACTCATTTATCTATAATATAAAACATCTCTGAAAATAAAGCTGCCTTAGTGCACTAGTGAAGAATTTTCTGCTAAAGAAAATAATATAAAATATTATTTTAAAAAGCAAGGGCCAAGGAAACTGTTGTTGTATAACTTAGGAATGCTGGACTTTTGCAGTTCCAATATCTACAAGACATTTTTTTTTAAATGTATAGCCTGCAAGAAAATTGTACTTAATTAACAGCTTTGAATAAAAATCTGATTATTATTGGCAAAACTATCAATTTTGCAGTTCAAATGTCAATCTGAAATGGATTTTATTCCCAGTAAAGCCTCATTACCATGTTTATCAAGGGACGCCTTTTCCACTATATTTTTCTTAACCATTTAAATGTGAGAATGTTCATCTATGAAAACTAAACATCCTGAAGTGAGGCTGTATTTCTGTTTAGGAAGCAATAGCTAACTGAGAAAGACATTCAGATGCAATCAAAGGGGATCTCAGCTTCACTGAGTTCTCACATGACAGCTTGGATCATTTCGGATCTCTTCCAGCAGAGACAAAATAGCATCAAAAGCAGGAAGCATTTTCCCACCCCCTTCCTTCCAAGGATGAAAACACAACATCATTAGTCAAATTTACCCTGAACCTCTGCCTCCTCGTGTTGATTTGCACTCAGGTTGAGTAAACATATCTTTCCATCATGGTAAATAATGTAAAAAGCTTATCAGTAACTTAATTGCTCAATGAATGATGCAGTATAAAATATAACAACTTTTTTTTACTGTACTACTGAAGCATCTTTTTAAAAGCCCTCATCTATTATATCTTCAAAGAAAACATTTTCCCCTGAATTTTAGTTATGAAGAAGCCAGTCTAGGTTTTTCTTTCAACTTCTAAAAAGCTACCAAAACAAAAATATGTAATGGTTCCAAAAAAAAAAAAAGAAAAGCAACTATAAATTTGTTTTTATTCACTGAAGGTGTTTTGTCTTCTATGCTAATATTTTTATATAACATTTAGCCTGACAAACGAGAAGCTTAGATAAGCCAACTATAGAAATTAGAGATAGTAATTAAAGAAGATCTATTCATCTCTCCTAAGGAAGAACTTTTTTGTTTCAGGTTTATATTGACCACCAAAGTTTATAACATATTAGAACAGGCTTACAGAAAACTTTTCTCATTTCTTGAACATTGATCCTTGTCTTTCTTAGTGAAAAACAGGACTATGTGTTAGCAAGTCTTTATTTTATGCTCTATTGGGGGGAAACTGTAACTGATATTTGTAAATAGACAAAGAAACCATAATCAATAATGTACAAAATATTTTAAATTCTATCCCTGAAATGTTCAGTTTAGAAAGGGATCTGATGAGTATAAATGTCAGAGACCTTGAAGTATTTCAGCTAGCCTGAAACGTAATTGTTCTAGCTAGACTAACTAGTGGGCCTACAATTCTAAAAATTTATGGACACAAGTATTTATCCTTAAATTCTGTGTATGGACAATAGTATTTTTAAAAAAAGACTGGTAAGATATATGTCATTGACAGAACAGACACTAGCAAGGTAGACACTAGCAAGACACTTGCAGAGTATTGGTTATCATTATGGTTCTTTGACAAGTCTTTAGTCTGACACTGACATTATCAAAATAGTTGTGACCAGAGGTGGGCTTCACATAATTTAACAGCCGGTTCGCCCCAGCACCGAAAATATGAGTGTGCGCGCATTCTGTACATCCACCTTGCTTGTGTGCACGCAGCTTAAAAAAAACGCAGCTAAATAGGACAGCATAGCACCGGGGTGGGTGGGCTGTCCCACCCGCAGGTCACAACTACCAATTCACTCAAATCGGTACGAACCGGCTGAATCCCACCCCTGGTTGTGACCTATTTTATCTTTTCACAAAAGCTAAAATAAAATGTTAGACAAGTTGGAATTTCAGTTAAACTACATCTTTCACTTTTTCTTTTATTTATTTATTTATTTATTCTTACAAAGCAACTATTACAATTCTCCCCCCCAAAATAGAACATTAATACAAATGCAAGTCTGAAAGAATATAGAAAAATAAGTAACAAAATAATGACTATTGCTTTTTTAAAGCAACGAAATAAGAGTAGACAATCAATAAGCCTCCAATACACCATTATGGTATTATTTTCATAGAGTACCATGCAACATTATATGTCCTATTTCTAGTCAAAACATCTCCATATTAAACTTTTAAAACATTGTTTAAACACAATTAGAATCAATAAAAGAATGAGAATGGACGTTGCTTACCTGAAAGTCCCTTTTCGTTGAGCTACAGGTCAATTCATTTACATATGGGATTTCCTCATCTTCCTGTAATGGACTGAGAGTGGTGTTTCTTTAAACCATGCTCTCTCTGCTCTCTGGACCCTCAGTTGTTTCGCGAAGTCGTCAGCTATCAAGGTCACCTGAGAAGAAAGCATAGACAACTTCTCCTGCCCTATACCAGGCAGCCCACAGGGAGGGATGAATTGACCTGCAGCGCAACGAAAAGGGACGTTCAGGTAAGCAACGTCCATTTTCCATTGCGCTGCTAGATCAATTCATTTACATATGGGATATACCCAAGCCCCAGAATTTAGAGGGAGGGAGGCTGACTGGTCCCTCCACTGGAGTCCCAATGTATCCTTTGCAGCACTCGACGTCCGAATGATGCCTCTGCAGAAGCAAAACTGTCAAGTCTATAATGTCTAACAAATGGTGTTAGGGAGGTCCAGGTGGCCGCCCTGCAAATGTCTAACACCGAAGCCTGGGTGGACCATGCAGCTGATGTTGCAGCGCTTCTCGTGGAGTGTGCCCACACTTTACCTGGAACCGACTTCCCCTTTGAGGAATAAGCGAGGGAGATACATGCCTTTATCCAACAGGCCACCATCCTGGAGGAAATCTTCTTACCCAAGGAAGAAGGATGGAAAGAAACCAGGAGCCCCTCCGACTTACGAAAAGATGCTGTTCTGGCGATGTATCTCCGGAGAGCTCGTCTTACGTCAAGCGTATGCCATTGAAATTCTAGCCTATGCTTGGGAGAAGGGCAAAAGTCCGGCAAAATAATTTCCTGGGATCTATGGAAACTGGAGTTAACCTTCGGCAAGAAGGCCGGGTCTAGCCTAAGGACCACCGTGTTAGGTTTAAAAATGCACAAATCCTGCCTAATCGAAAGAGCGGCCAATTAAGACACCCTCCTGGCAGAGGTAATGGCCAGGAGGAAGGCCACTTTAAAGGACAGAAATTTGAGACTGGCGGATGCTATAGGCTCGAATGGGTGAGTTGTAAGGGCCTGTAGAACCAACAAGTCCCAAGTGGGGTACCTATGCACAACGGATGGTCTAATATTCGAAGCTCCCCGTAAAACCCCCCTAATCCTGTAGTCTTGAGTTAGTGGGTGAGACGTCTCTCTAGACAGAACAGTCGACAATGCTGCAACCTGTCTTTTCAAGGTGGAAGGTGCCAACCCCTTATCAAACCCATCCTGCAGAAAGACCAAGATATCTGAAATACCGGCAGAAGTAGGGTCCACATGGTGTAGATGGCACCAACTGCAAAATGTTCTCCAAGACGCCTCATAGATCCTCGTAGTAGAAGGCCGCCTGGCAGCCTGAATGGTGCGAATCACCTTCCCTGGAACATTGGACTTCCTCAGGAAGACCCTCTCAAGTGCCACACGGTTAAGTATAGCCAACCGGGGTCCGGATGTTGCACTGACCCCTGGCTGAGAGAGATCCGATCCCGAGGTATTTTCCAGGGAGGCGACACCGACAGGGCCACCAGGTCAACAAACCACGAGCGTCTTGGCCAATGAGGAGCCACCAACAGGACCTCCGCTTGTTCCATCGTCATCATCCTTATCACCCTCGGGATGAGTGGCAGAGGGGGAAAGGCATATAGCAGTCCCTGAGGCCAAGGACAACACAGAGCATTGTGATTGATTGCCCCCTACTCTGGAATCTGGAAATGAACCGAGGGAGCTGGGCATTTTCCTTGCTGGCGAACAGATCCACTACTGGAAGTCCGAACTTGTCTACGATGGACTGAAACAGGTTCGGGTGGAGTTTCCACTCGGAGGGGTCTAATTGAGTCCGACTTAGCCAGTCGGCTAAGATATGTTCTGCCTTCAAGGACAGAACATGAGACTCTGCCCAACTCATCAGCTTGTCGGTTTCTGCCATCAATGGAAGGGAGTGAGTGCCCCCTTCGCGATTTATATGGGCCTTTGTGGCCGTATTGTCCGTCAGAACCAGGACATGTTGATGAAGAACCATGTCCTGGAAATGTCTTAGAGCGAGGCAGACGGCCCGGAGCTCTAGCCAATTGATATTGTTCTTGGCTTCTACAGGGGACCACAGACCCTGAACCACTTGTGCCCCCAGATGGGCTTCCCAGCCCACCAGATTCGCATCTGAGGTTACGACAATCCTGCTGGGATCCTGAAAAACACAACCCTTGCTTATGGCCCTGGAGTTCCACCATTCTAGAGAAGCCCGTACCTTGGGAGGAAGCCTCACCTCAGAGTTTGACGTGCTGCGGCCCGATTTCTGTGCCGGTAGGAGATACCACTGGAGCTGGCGTGCATGTCTGCGAGCCCAGGGAACTATCGAGATACAAGAAATAAATTTGCCGAGCAGCTGTGATAATGTTAGGAATGTTACCTGCTGTTGTGATAAAACCCAGCACACTAGAGTCCTGATATCCTCCTGCCTCTCGGGTGATAGGAAAACCATCCCCTTCTCGGAATCGATGAGAGCTCCCAGGTGAGCTATGCAGGTCGTCAGTTGAAGATGGCTCTTTCGATGATTTATGGAGAACCTGTGACTGGTGATGATGTTGGTCACCATCTCTAGATCCTGGAGAGCCTGTTGAGAAGACTGAGAAAGGAGTAATATATCGTCCAGATAACAAAAGTATCCTTATCGGCATGAGCCGAATTGTGGCTGCCACCACCGCCAACAGTTTGGTGAAAGTGCGTGGGGCTGAGGAGAGGCCGAAGGGCATGGCCCGGTACTGGAAATGTTCTCCGGCATAAGCAAATCTCAGAAATCTGTGATGGGCCGGGTGAATGGGCACATGTTGGTAAGCCTCTTGAAGATCTAGTGATGTCATAACATCGCCCCTCCGCACACAGTCTAAAATCGTCCTGAGAGACTGCATTTTGAATTTTCTGAACTGAAGAAACTTGTTGACAAATTTGAGATTTAGGATGCCTCTCCAGCCTCCTGATGCCTTTGGAACTAGAAACAGTATGGAATACACCCCCAACCTTTCCTGCCCCACAGGTACAGGTTCTATTGCCCCTATAGCTAACAAGTGCTGAATCTCCTTCTCCAACTGCTGACACTTTTCTAGCTGTCGAGGAATGGGACAGGGGATGAAATGATTGGGGGGCTTCGTACTGAATTCTAAGGAGAGTCCCAATCTCACTGTCCGAAGGATCCAATCCTCGGATCTGGAAGCCTCCCATTGACGAACAAAGTGGCTGAGTCGTCCGCCTATGGGAGGTAGAGGAAGCGAGTCACTTACCTCACTTTGTGGGCCTCGACCCAGAGGCAGGAGGATATCAGGACTCTATATGGTCTCCTGAAGAACTGAAACCTGCCTCTGTCTCTAAATGACTGCCTGTCAGAAGCCCTGTCGAATCCCTGAGAGTATGATCTACCAGTATAAGACCCACTGGGTCCTGGGTCCTGGCGAAAGGGCTGCCTTTGAGGGTATGGAGTAAAGCGGCGCTCTGACCTTCAATATGAGACAGGCAACACTTTCTTTTTATCCTTCCCCTCAATGAGAATGGGGGCTAATGCTGCTCCAAACAAGTCAGTACCCTGATAGGGCGTTGACGCTAATTTCCACTTTGCTTTCAAATCTGCGTGCCAGGGGCGTAACCAGAGGAGCTGCCGTGACGTTACTGACGAGGCCATTGCCCTAGCTGCAAATTTTGCGGCGTCTAGAGAAGCGTCAGCCGAATATTCGGCCGCCGTCACCATCTTATTAACGTCTTGTTGAAGACGCAAGTCATCAGTGGGAAGGCGGTCCCTGAGCTGTTTGAGCCAGACCAGATTGGCCCGATTAAAGAAGGATGCCGACGTGGCAGCCTTCACCGCCCAGGCGGCCGCCTGATGGGTTTTTCTAAAGGCGACCTCCACCTTCCTATCCTCAGATCACAGAACCTCAATGACATCTGAGGAGAAAATAGTAGAAGAAGACAAATTAACCACTGGGGGGTCCACTGCCGGGAGAGACAACAAATTCTCCAAGGAAGGTTCTACAAAATAAATCTTTTTATCAAGCCCCGAGGGAGCAGAGAGTGCCCCTGGGTGTTCCCATTGCTTTTTAATGACTCCCGAAAATAACTCCGGGCAGGGAATGAAGTCCTGCTCCGGAGAAGGGACAGGGAATAACTCATTGTGGTGTGATTGAACATCTGCCTCCTGGCCCCGAGGACTGGAAAGAGAACCTATGTTAGTAGCTAGTTTGGCCTTATGTAATAACGTTTTAAAGACCGCTGGTCTAAAAAGGGTAGTAAATGCAGGTCTATCAGGTTCTACACCCTTGTCATCTGAGAATTCAGGTTCCTCAGTTTCCCCTTCCATCTGTCCTGAATCCTCACTGTCCAGTGGGTCTTGATGATCCACCATTACAGGTCTAGCCGAAGGCTGGCTGGCATGCATCTGGCAGCTAGCAGAAACAGCGGGGAGCTATATCTGTTGACTAAAACCTGAAGCTAATGCCTGGGCCAAGGCGTTAGTAAGGATCGTCTGAAAATTCACAGGTTGTGACAAATCCATAGCCTATACTCCCATGACAGGATTCTGAACAGCCCCTAGGCCCCCTTGCTGAGCTCCCTGTGAGGAAGAGGAAGGTCTAACGGGGTCTATTTGAGTCAAGTCACCTTCTTCTTCTGACTGAGGAGAAGGTTGAGCTAAAGAGGCTTGAGCTTTCTTTTGTGCCCTCTCACATTGTTTTTCTAAGGCATTGTGCCTTCTAATGGCATCCCTGTCCATTGTTGCAGGAGGGGGAGGCCTGGTTGAGACAGCCTCAGTATCCTGCCCAGCTGTGGCTGCAGAGGACTTATTCTTAAGACTTCTTAGTCTTTTTTGACTGAGGAGGGGTCTGTGGATGCTCAGTGTCAGATGAAAACTCCTGGTCATCCATGGCAATTGACATTAGAACAGCAGTAGGCCCTAGATAAAGGGAAACATATTTTGGCGCCAAAACTAATGTTTCAAAATGGCCGCCAGCACCAACAGTCACCCAAAAGGTACCTCAGACAAAAGGAGGTCAAGCAAGCTTTGCTCCCAGTCTCCCTCTGCAGCTGGAAAGGAACGGGCGGCCGAGATTAAATAATCCCCTCATGCCGCTAACACCTCAAACTGTCAAGGAAAAGGGCGCGAAAACCTTAATGGGGTCCTGGCGCCCCTCCGCTACATCACGATGTTCAGCGAATTCTCTCCTCCTGGTCACTCAAAAGGGAACTCTCTCCTCAGCGATGACAGTGAGGCAACAAACATCGGAGTTTGAATCGAGCCGAACAGAGACTCCGGAGCCGCCCTACACTAAATGGAGCCCTAAAATGGCGGCCGCGGTTAACCAGGCTCACCCGGTAAACAACGCGCTCGCCGGCGGCCAAAACAACGTTTTAAACCAATGTTGGACCTGCCCAGCCGGGTCAGGCGCCAATCGGTATAATTTTTAAAGCGGCGGGGGTAGTGGTCTGGGGCCCCAGAGTCACTCACCCAGCGCTTGCGAATATGAACAGCTGCAGCCGCAGGCTGTTCCGATTTGAAACTTCGGCTCCACTAATTGTATGCAAGGAAGCAAGACAAAAATAACAAAACCTATAATCTCACTAAAACCTAAGCTAACCACTCGGGCAGAGCAAGAAAACAGGTCCCTACAGTAAGACTGAGCGAAATAACTGAGGTTCCAGAGAGCAGAGAGGGCGTGGTTAAGGATTTAAAGAAACACCACGCTCAGTCCATTACAGGAAGATGAGGAAATCCCATATGTAAATGAATTGACCTAGCAGCGCAATGGAAAATGTGTAACTAGTGAACCCTATATTAAGACAACATGCAGATAACATATAGACTGTCAAATTTAGTAATGAACTTTAAAAGTTTAATGTTGATATGGCACAATTCCACTTATTAGAAACAGAGCTTAAAACAGATCCTTTGCATAGTTTTATTGCTAGAAATACTATAAATAGTAGATGCTTTACTAGCCCAACCTACTATAGTTAAAGAGATTTGAAAAGTTAAGGCAGTTTGTGTTTGTGTCAAACTTCATTTTTTAAATTTTCATATTGAAGATGGATTATTAGAGGCTTTCAGAAACTCATTTATAGTGGATTATAAGTGAAAGAGTATTCACTATCTGTTTGCTGAAATTCAAGACTCTTACATTTTGAAAATTTGGAATTTTAAAATCTTAACCCTCTCCCTCCAAAAAAGAATATTAAATTTCAAAAAACTTGATATATAAAACTCAGGTATGTTCATCTCATCTCAATCAAAATTGGCTGATCTGAAATAATGACATAAATCTTAATGCAGTGTTAAATCTATGACTAGACTAGTGTGAACGATAACTAGGAAATATTTATATATATATAAATTATATATATATATATATATATAATTAAACTTTTTGTGTGTGTGTACACACACACACACACACAAAAGTTTATTTTATTCCCTACATGCTAGTTTTCTAGAAACATGTCTTTTAAGATAATTACCCACTTGTAGTCTGACGCAATACAGCACACATATTTATAGGATTAAATCTTTCATTTGCAAAAAATAAATAAATAAAATGCAATTTGAACTTTGAGTTTGGATAAAGATTTTTATACTTGCTACTATACTGCTTACAGCATCACCGTGCTATTAATCCTTTCCCAACAGAAGAAATTCAGCAAAGGCACAGGATACTGTTTAGAAAATGTATGCCAGAAAAATTATTTAACACATATTTTTCTATACCAACATACATACCACTCTGCCCAAATCCACCTCATACTAAGAGGGAAGGAAGAAGGTTGATTCTCAGTACACATGGACTTCCACAGAACTGGCCTCTTGACCAGTTCAAAAGTTGTTCAGGGCCATTAATTCCACAATATGAAGTATATTCAAGACGTGAGGCAATTTTTTGGTCACTTACAGTATATTTGAATCCCCAATAAAACTAGCATGTTAATTCATTCACTTACAAAAATGCTGATGCTCTTTGGAAATGGTAAAAGATCCATTTCCCACTTGCAAGAATTCCTGCTTCACCAGAACTTCTGATCCTGGGTTGCAGCCAAGTCATTGAAGGAAAAAGGTGGCCTGATATCCCATAGAAACTACAGGATGGATGAATGGCTACCTAACTGGCTTCCATTTTTTTTCTTCTTCTTCTTCTTCTTTGCATATAGTCAAAGAAATGTTCATGTAAAGATATTGGTAAGGTCTACGTGTATTTAAAAGCAAGTTAGTGTATTCTTCATTCATATGGACTGTATGTAAAGCAAGTCAAGGCAAGACTGTAAATTTTGCTCCTTCTTCCTAACTAATTTAGATTGGCCTAAATCAGGGGTGTCAAACTCCCAGCCCGCGTCACGCACCGGCCACTCCCAGGCCTGGTTTAGCAAAAGTGGGGGGGAGTCACGATATTTCACGTGACACTGCCTTGACACCGCGAGTTTGATACCCCTGGCCTAAATGAAGATTGCAGATCATTTTCAACCTTTTTTTGAGGTACTGGGGAGAAGAATATAGAAGTATCCATAGGCTATGTTATCTAGAAATAGCATGAATTCCCAATATTTACCAAATGCAAATCACCTGGTCTCACCTGACCACTCTCCACTCTATTTCTAAAAAAATGGAGCACCTAACACAAGCTAAAATAATCATCTACCAAAATCTGTTATCTGGCATTAAAAATGCATAATAAACACTAGGACTTTCACTGTCTTATCAAAATTTTGGACTTAATGCTAATGGAACATCTGGACTGTAAAAAAAAGAATAAACCCAGGAACTGACAATTTTGGTTAGGAATCCATGTGAGTGAAAAATCCTACCGTAACTTTTGAAACCTTACACATGCCTTTTTAAAAAACTGCTTAATGCACACTTGAAAGCAAAAGAAAAATGTGCAACATAATTGCCGAAAAATAAATCTAATTTCAAGATTTTTTAATTTTCATAGGCACGTGTACAGGGCTTGTGTCATAAATAATTACAGGTAGCCTTCAACTTACAACTGTTCATTTAACCATGGCTCCAAGTTATAATGGCTTTGGAAAAAGTGATTTACAAGCTGTCCTCGCACTCATGGCTGTCAAATCATCCTCGTGGTCACGTGATCACAATTTGGTTGCTTGGCAACCAGCTCGCATTAACAACTGATTGCAACATCCTACAGTCACATGATTTGCAATCTTCCAGCCACTTTCCGACAAAAAATATCAACTGGGGAAGCTGGATTTGCTTAACAACCACATGATTCATTTAACAACCATGTTGATCAGCTTGACAACCAGGGTAAAATGGCCTTAAAATTGGATGATTCGTTTTACAACCACACCAAATTACCACAGAAATTGCAGTCCCAAATGTAAGTCATAAATCAAGGACTACCTGTAATTAAAAGATAAGAAAACAGGGAGAAAGCTCTAAAGGATAGTTCCTACAATGAAAAGGAAAGCAATCAGACTGTTCAAGGGGCTTCGTGCTATTTTAACTAAATCAATGATGCCTGATGACTCCAAATCATTCAGAGTTTTAAAAGTAAAAGGGGATTGCAATGAGGTAGCTGGAGCAATGGACATTAAAATGGCAAACTTAATTCAGTCATGGAGTAAATTAAAGCATGTTAGAACAATATATGCTAGTAGTGTTTCAGTTGTTCGTCAATAACCAGGAAAAATAATGGGTGATTGTAGTTCATGGCTACAATCTTTTTTTTTTAATCAGGTTTTTTTGTAGCTACCAAGAAGGCAGCAAATTCCACATTGGGCATCATTAGGAGTTTAAAAAATCGCATTGCCAATATTTTAAAGCTTCATACA